AGGGGCCACCTGGGGGTTGGCAACCCTATAAAGGAACAGATGATCCCTTGCATGCAATTTAAAGCAATGAAGAGTCATAGAATCAGAGTTGGAAGAGAACGCCAGGGTCATCTAGCCCAACCCCCTGCTCCAGGGTCATCTAGTCCAACCCCCTGTTGAGCAGTGGAACAGACTGCCTCGGGAGGTGGTTGGGTGCTCCTTCGCTGGACTTTTTCAAGCGGAGGCTAGGCGGCCATCTCTCGGGTATGTTGTAAGGCTCTCTTTCGGCTGTGCTCCTGCAGAGTGCAGGGGGCTGGACTAGATGACCTGCAAGACCCCTTCCATTCTATGATTCTACGATTCAATGCAGGAAATCCACAAATACCTCCCCCTCCACACACAGACCCAGTGACCCCCTTCTCTATGCCCACAAGAGGCGGGGGGAACCCCTCCAGGATCTCCAGCCAAACTGGCCTGGAGGAAAATGGCTTCCTGACCCCAATGTGGTGATCAGCATTTCCCTGGGCATGTAAGAAAGGGCCACGAGAACTAAGCACTGAGGCAACCCTTCCTGCCCTCCCTTCTCATGATATGCCTCAGTTCACAGAATCTGCATTGGTGTCAGAGGGCCATCTAGCCTCTGCTTAAAATACCTCCAAAGAGGGAGAGCCCACCACCTCCCGAGGAAGCCTGTTCCACTGAGGAACGTCTCTTAACTGTCAGGAGGTTTTTCCTAACATTTAGCCAAAAAGCCTTCTGATTTAATTTCAACCCGTTGGCTCTGGTCCGACCTTCTGGGGCAACAGAAAACAAACTCCACACCATCCTCTCGATCAGGGGTCATTTCGTAGAAAAAGAGGTGCAGGAGCTCATTAGCATAACTCATTTGCATATGCCACACCCCCTGATATCACCAGAAGTGTGTCAGAAGGCAACACCCACCACTCAGGCTCCACTGGACTGTTTTGGATTGCTAGCTATTGGGGGGGGGGAGCGGACCGGGCAGATCTGCCCTCGCAGAGGAGGGAGAGCTTGTACCTGAATAAGACTTGGTGTTAAAGGTGCCACTGGACTGTTTTGGGCCGGGGGCGGGAAGCTCTGCAACTTACCTGGCTGCTTCTTGATCTGACTGAGGGCTGCTGGGAGCAGGGGGCGGGGCTTGTTGCATGTGCCCGCCCCCTGGGCTCTTTACTGCCGGAGCTCTGCTCCTGTGCGCTCCTACAGGAAATGACCCCTGCTCTCGATGACAGCCCTTCAGGTCCTTGAAGATGGTGATCATATCTCCTCTAAGTCGTCTCCTCTCCCGGCCAAACATACCTAGCTCCTTCAGCCTTTCCTTTTCTTCTCAGCATTGTTCTGGCAACTGCACGCCCCTAACTTTTTGGTGTAGGAACTTAAAACTTACTGAAGCTGATTTCGTCTGATATTCATTTACACTCCTTCAGCGGTTCCCCACTCAGCTTCCTTTTTACTTTTTCAGGGGGCACGTCCGGATTGGGAGGTTAACGTATGAAATACGGCCGGTAGAGAACTCCCCGACGTTTCAGCACCTTATTTATCTAGCTGCTCCTGAGCAGCACGAGCCGTGCAGAGGGATTCTCGAAGACCAAGACGAGTTGGAAAGGAATCAGTTGGGAAGCGGGAAACCTGAGAGCCCCCCTGCCGACCACTCCTCCAAAAGCGTAAGTCTTTGTTTGCTGAGCTTGAGGCATCAGAGCATACCTATACTCTGTGCCTGTGTGTGTCAGATTTTTCTAACTCCTTTCTACATCCATAAAACATAGCACAAGATACCTTCCACTGACATTTCTCTCACACTTATGCACTTCTATCCCATGTAGAACCATAGCATCACGGAGTTGGGAGGGGCCTTAGAGGCCATCCAGTCCAACCCCCTGCTCAATGACGGGTCATCCTAGAGCAGCAGTGGCCAAACTGTGGCTCAGGAGCCGCATGCGGCTCTTTCACACATATTGTGCGGCTCCTGGCAGGCTCCCCATCTATCTGCTTGTTTTGTTTCTTTTTCTCTCTCTCTCTTCCTTCCTTCCTCCCACTCCCTCCCCCATCTATCTGCCTTCTTTGTTTCTCTCTCTTTCTCTCCCCCTTCCTTGCTCCCTCCCCATCTGTTTCCTTTCTTTCCACCTTTTCTCTTTTTCCCTCTTCCTTCCTTCCCCATCTATTTGCTTTCTTTGTTTCTTTCTCTCTCTCTCTTTTCCTTCCTTACTCCTACTCCCTCCCCCATCTATCTGCCTTCTTTGTTTCTCTCTTTCTCTCCCCCTTCCTTGCTCCCTCCCCATCTGTTTCCTTTCTTTCCACCTTTTCTCTTTTTCCCTCTTCCTTCCTTCCCCATCTATTTGCTTTCTTTGTTTCTTTCTCTCTCTCTCTTTTCCTTCCTTACTCCTACTCCCTCCCCCATCTATCTGCCTTCTTTGTTTCTCTCTTTCTCTCCCCCTTCCTTGCTCCCTCCCCATCTGTTTCCTTTCTTTCCACCTTTTCTCTTTTTCCCTCTTCCTTCCTTCCCCATCTATTTGCTTTCTTTGTTTCTTTCTCTCTCTCTCTTTTCCTTCCTTACTCCTACTCCCTCCCCCATCTATCTGCCTTCTTTGTTTCTCTCTTTCTCTCCCCCTTCCTTGCTCCCTCCCCATCTATTTCCTTTCTTTCCCCCTTTTTCTCTTTTTCTTCCTTCTCCCATCTATTTGCTTTCTCTCCCTTCCTTCCTCCCACTCCCTCCCCCATCTATCTGCTTTCTTTGTTTCTCTTTCTCTCTCCCCCTTCCTTGCTCTCTTTCCATCTCTTTCCTTTCTTTCCACCCTTTCCTCTTTTTCTCTCTTCCTTCCTTCCCCCATCTATTTGCTTTCTTTGTTTCTTTTTCACTCTTCTTCCTTCCTTCCTCCCACACCCTCCCCCATCTATCTGCCTTCTTTGTTTCTCACTCTTTCTCTCCCCCTTCCTTGATCCCTCCCCATCTGTTTCCTTTCTTTCCACCTTTTTCTCTTTTTCTCTCTTTCTTCCTTCCCCCATCTATTTGCTTTCTTTGTTTCTCTCTCTCTCTCTTTCTTTCCACTTCTCTCTTTCTCTCTCTCTTAGACAAATAAATATCATTAGCAAACAAATAAATATCACTGGACAAATAAATATCATTATCCATATCTGTTTTTACCCCTTTTGTTTCTATTTTTGCCAGTCTAATGTTAACAAAAAGCAAATTTGCATATTTTTTTCAATATAAACATGTGTGTAATCATAGAATTATAAAGTTGGGAGGGATCCCCAGGGTCATCTAGTCCAACCCTAATATTACAAGACATGTAATATCTGTTCCTGTCCTGCGGCTCTCAGACATCTGACGTTTATTCTATGTGGCTCTTACGTTAAGTGAGTTTGGCCCCCCCTGCCCTAGAGCATCCCTGACAAGTGTCTGTCCAGGCACTGCTTCAAGACTGCCAGGGAGGGGGAGCTCGCCACCTCCCCGGGCAGCCGATTCCACTGTGGCACAGCTCTGACTGTCAGAAAGTATTTCCTAAGATCCAGCCAGTTTGCCATTGCCTGTCTCTGCGTAGTGCCCCTGGCCTTCCTTGGTGGTCTCTCATCCCAATACTGACCAGGTCTGACCCTGAATAGCGGCCGAGATCGTGTGAGATCAGACTTACCTGTGCCAACCGGCCTTTGCAACGACCTGCAGACTCAGCTGCTTTCCTGTGAACATGACCGGAACTGGCTCAGTCAGAATGGCTGTGTATTCTGCAACTGATTTTCCAGCGGGTCATTCCCCAGCGGGGCTGCCAACTCCCAGTTGGGAAATTCCTGGAGATTTGGGGGTGGAGCCTAGGGAAGGAGGGGTTTGGAGAAGGAAAGGGACCTCAATGGGGAATAAGGCCATAAAATCCACCTTCCAAAGCAGCCATTTTCTCCAGGGGAAATCTTTTCCGCCTGGCGACAGTTGTTATTCTGGGAGGTCTCCAGGCCTCACCTGGAGGTTGAAAGGGAGCAAAACAACCATGATTTATTATGCCAAGAAATTCTTCATAGTCTTGTAAGTTCTTTTCCAATATCCAATGTACTTGGAGCAATTCAAACGCATCAACACCACAACGGGGACCATGCATATCACGTCTCGTTGTCAGAGTGGGTGGCGTTGAAATTCCTATGTCTAATTACAAAAAATGAAATTACTATTAGCATATTATTACTCATTAGCATATTAGGCCACACCTTTGACAGCGCAACTCATTGGCATATTAGACGATACCTCCATGTTACCAGAAGTGTGCTCATCCAAGCAACACCCACCTTTTGCTTCTTATTCTCTTTACCTTGTTTGTTGTCAAAACCCAGGGCTTTTTTGTAGCAGGAACTCCTTTGCATGTTAGGCCACACACCCCTAATGTAGCCAATCCTAATGAGTTTCTGCTCTTGGGTGTGACCTATTATGCTAATGAGTTCCTGCTGGGCGTGGCCAACTTGTGAGCCAGCCGGAACTCTATTCCTGTGCGTTCCTGCCCAAAAATAGCCTTGGTTATTTCTCATAGTAACATTCATCCAATCCTCTAGTACAGGGGTGTCGAACTCATTTGTTATGAGGGCTGGATCTGACATAAACGAGACCTTGTTGGGCCGGGCCCAAATGTAATGCCAGGTAGCAGAGATATAAACTCTATAAAGGACACAAACAAAGGGTTTTTTTTAACTTAAAATAAAAACATGCTTAAAACATGAGCACTCTTGCAATATTCTGTTTATTTAACAGTGTCTGACAACTGACACCTCTGGCTCTGAATTACTACATCAAAATGTCTGTGCTGTTGCAATCCTGAATATGCCGTTCAGGTGTGTATCTGTAAGCTGAAAACCTACAATGGCACAGCAGCAGCAGAACTGGGAGAAGAAGCAGAAGACAGCGAGTTCCACCGCGGGCCTGATAGGAGCCCTCCAGGGGCCTGATGTGGCCCCCGGGCCGCATGTTGGACACCCCTGCTCTGGTGTAATGCAAATCTCACTCAACCTTCTCACCTATACATATCTAAAGCCAATAATTGCTACCAGCTGGCTGAATGACAGCCCTGCGTCTTAAAGAGATACAACCAGTCTTCAAAGGCAGAATGCCCTAAGGAGGAGAACAATCATATAAGGTTGCTCTCTTTCAACTTCCATCCTGTGATCGCTCTCCTCGGTTTGTACTCACCTGGAGGTTGGCAGCTCTTTCTCCCTCTGGTCCATGACAGAGTAGGCCGTTTTGCGATTCTGCTTATCGGTGCTTATTTCGTTCCAGTTGATGAAGGATCCTGGAGATGCGGCAGCTACATACCTGGAGTACTACGTTGTCTGCGACCGCTCTGTAGTAAGTGTTGACAACCTGTTTTAATAACTAAAGGCAAAGGTAAAGGTTTCCCCCTTGCCCGAGAGCCAGTCGAGTCCGACTCTAGGGTTGCGGTGCTCATCTCCGTTTCAAAGCCAAAGAGCCAGCGCTGTCCGAAGACGTTTCCGTGGTCATGTGGCCGGCATGACTAGACACCAAGGCGCACGGAACTCTGTTCCCACCGAAGTGGAACCTATTTATCTACTTGCAATTTCTTGCTTTCGAACTGCTAGGTTGGCAGGAGTTTTAATAACTACACGCGTGCATAAAGTGTCTTGGTGGTTTTGTCTTTATTACTGGACTGCAGAGGCACATGGTTGGCTGTCGTGCCGTGGCACCCAGTTGCGACTGGATGCCAGTCCACACAGGGGATGTGTTGCCCCCCGCAGAGATCAGAATAGTAAAGCATAGCAAATTGTTTACTGTATCTTTAAACGTATAGTGAATTCTGGGAACTGTAGTTCCAGTAACCTGAAGGTCAGTCGGTCAGAAGTAGGCTTCCTGATTGGTTCTATATAGTCTCCTTTTCCTGTAATAATCTAGCCCGGGGAAGCTGGTTTATTGAACCCCTTCCTCCTATTGTTCTGTAAATCCCTTGGCTATGGAGACGGGAGAGACTCATCTCCTTCTTATCACATGAATCACTCAATAGACTCTGGACTTTAAGATGCTTCTGTCCTCTAACCGGAAATGGGACACGAGTAAGAGAGCCGGTATGTAGTGGTTGAGTGCACGGACTCTAAACTGGGAGAACCGGGTTTGATTCCCGTCTCCTCCACATGCAGCAGCTGGTGTGACCTTGGGTCAGTCACAAGAAGAAGAAGAGATTGGATTTATACACCGCCCTTCACTACCCGAAGGAGTCTCAGAGTGGCTTACAAACTCCTTTCCCTCCCTCTCCCCACAACAGACACCCTGTGAGGTAGGCGAGGCTGAGAGAGCTCTTTCAAAGACTGCTCCTGAGAGAACAGCTCTGACAGAACTATGGCTTGCCCAAGGTCATCCAGCAGCTTGGGACAGCACAGGGGGAAATCCAGTTGTGAACCATGAACTATTTAGAGCAACATGGTGATTTTTTTAAAATGCTGGGTCTATATAGATCAGTTTCAATTTTTAATTTTTAAAGTATAATAGAAATAATATAAGCATATGAAACTGGATATTACTTCTTGATAGTTTCTTTTAATTTGTTGTACATAATTTTAACTGTTTGTAATTATTTGTGCAATAAAAAGATATATAAAAAATTAAAAATTAAAATTTTTAAAAAAACCAAATACACTAAACTGCATTCTCTCTTCATTTTAGTATCAGTGGGGAGACCGCAACGAAACTCGCGTGATGCTACTGATGCTTCAGATTATATCCGTCCTTCAAAGCGTGAGTATATAAGAACATAGGAACATAAGAGACGCCAATGTTGGATCAGGCCAAAGGCCCATCCAGTCCAGCACTTTGTGTCACACAGTGGCCAGAAATACCAGGTGCCATCAGGAGGTCCACCAGTGGGGCCAGGACACTAGAAGCCCTCCCACTGTTGACCCCCCCCAAGCACCAAGAAGACAGAGCATCACCTGCCCCAGAGTAGTTCCTATCTATACCTTGTGGCTAATAGCTACCGATGGACCTCTGCTCCATATGCTTATCTAATTCCCTCTTGAAGCTGTCCATGCTTGTAGCTACCACCACCTCCTGTGGCAGTGAATTCCATTTATTAATCACTCTTTGGGTGAAGAAGTACTTCCTTTTATCTGTTCTAACCTGACTGCTCAGCAATTTCATTGAGTGCCCACGAGTTCTTGTATTGTAAGAAAGGGAGAAAAGTATTTCTTTCTCTACCTGCTCTATCCCATGCAGAATCTTGTTAACCTTGATCATGTCAGCACTCAGCCATCGTTTCTCCAAGTGAAAGAGCCCCAAGCGCTTTAACCTTTCCTCATAGGGAAAGTGTTCCAACCCTTTTATCATTCGAGTTGCCCTTTTCTGCATTTTTTCCAATGCTATAATATGCTTTAATATTTCTGGGGAGAGGTCTGCCTAGTGGACACGTGGAGGTGCTACGGAAGTTGTCCTGATGCAGTCTAGCCCACCCAAGGGTGTGTGACGCAGCCCTGATGCTTGAAGGAAGGGCTGTGGCTCAGTGGTAGAGCTTTTTGCATCGCGGGCAGAAGGTCCCAGGTTCAGTCCCCGGCATCTCCAGTTTAAAGGACCTGCTGATGAGAAAGACATTGGTGGCTCAGTGGTGATGTGAAAGACCTACGCATGAGATCCTGGAGAGCCATGGAAGGGGGCTGTGGCTTTTTTAGAGCGTCTTCTTGGCAGGCAGAAGGTCCCAGGTTCAGGCTCCGGCATCTCCAGTTCAAAAGGACCAGGTAGAAGGTGAAGGGAAAGACCTCCCCGCCCTGGAGAGCAGCTGCCAGTCTGAGTAGACAATACTGCCCTTGATGGACCAAGGGCCTGATTCAGTGTAAGGTGGCTTCATGGGTTCATGTGGTTTGTTTTAATGAAGAGCAGCTTTGGTAGTGGAAAGTGCCGTCAAGCCACTGCTGACTTGTGGCGACCTCATGGGGCTGTCAAGGCAAGAGATGTTCAGAGGTGGTTGGCCATCGCCTGCAACAGAGAGCCAGTTTGGTGTGGTGGTTGAGTGCACGGACTCTAATATGGGAGAACCGGGTTTGATTCCCCACTCCTCCACTTGCACCTGCTGGATGACCTTGGGCAAGCCCGTAGTTCT